TGATCTTTAACTTCTTTCGCTTTTATTCGCTTCATCACTCTGATTCTCTGGCCAGATCAATGACTGTAGAAAATATATGTATCCTAATTCCATTCTCGTATTTGACTTATTTAACTCCGTTATTCACTAACGCGGATAAAGTCATTTATTATATACGAGTATAAACGAAATCAGATTTACGCCACAACAACCTATTATGAATCGTACCTACCAAGTGAAATCAAAAGACAGAAGCGAGTAGGTTAGAAGATATATTTGATGGGTTGTTAATATATCGGGAATCGACTGATTTAATCTGGCTAGTGATTGCAGGGGATGTTGGGCACGGCGACCCCACTCATGATCTGGTACTGATGCATGACCGGGCGCCTTCAGCTGAGTGAGTTCTTCAAAACTAATGTGGTCAGTATCCAATGTCGAACACTTACAGAGCTATTTATTTTGAAGAACTATTTACCACTACAGTGTAAATTAGCTAGAAGTTGGACTCCTCACCGAACTCGGTCAAATATGTGACTTTGAGTCTATGATGACCGCCTTTTAGAACTGGATTTGTAACCGCGGTTGCATAAGAGTACTCCCCAACGCCAAAAAGTAAAATATACGGTGAAGGAAGAAAATTATAAGGAGTACGGGATTGAATATACTTTTTTGTGTCAGAGACCATTTGCTGGCTTGATATAGGCTTGCATGATATATTGAAGCTACAGTTCCTCAAGTGATCTAGGTAGCGAGTTGGTGTACACCTTACAAGTATGTGAGTCCTATTGATCATAAGCAACGTGAATAATTGATTAGTGTAAGGAATTACTGCAGTCACGCCCACTATAGGCCGTTGCGGTTTGTTGGTTAAGTTTGTGGTCCGGCATTCAGGAGAGCAGAGGTTCGAGTGCCTGTGGGGTTGGTGTTTTCTTTTACAAAACTCACATGAATACGATGTTCGCTGTTTGTAAGTTGCTCAGACATTAGGAAAAATGACAATAAAAGGATGGATTAGTATCCCGAAGTCCCCTAACCAGCCATATTGAAGCACCGCGTTAACTGCTTAAAATATTAACGGCACAAGTGTTTTATGTTCATATTGACAGTAATCAAATAGCAAAACCACATATGTGGTAGGTTTCATCTTTGTGAGAAACAAAGCAAAGAATACAACTATTATTTATATAAAATATAGGTTTCTTTTACAAAACACTAGTGGTAAATTCCAGAATTTCGTATGGACCACTGACAATAATTGGGCTAGAATGTAATTCATGGACGAAACAGTCAGAAGCTTTCAAGGGATTGCAAGGTCACGGAGCCGATTTCAGTACGTGATGCTCATGTACGATCGGCTCACAGCGGATTTTGGAGATGTGACAGTAAAGCATCTGCAATAAATGGGACTAATGAAAAGTTCCTTTATTTGTAGTTGCGGTAATCAAATGGCTTGTAGACCCTGTATAGACTACCTTAATGACATCTTTTGATGTAATGCATGCTGGAGTAAGAAGTTGGCTAGAATAGGAACTTCTTTCGCCTGATTCAGGCTGAGACCATGGCAGACTATAATAATTGCAGCGAACTGTACAATGAAAGCACCAGTAACATTGGCTGCAATATTCACAGATGTTGCTGAAGCTTCGGCTGTTCGGTGATATGAGTATTCTAGGGCTATATGCGTAACGAATGCGACAAGCTTACACAGCCAGAGTACACACAAACAATATTGAAGCTATGTGGTAGAGGTTGAAAGGGTATTCGCAACCTTGTCATGGCTCCAGAGATCGACTAGTACGGAGCCATATGGATTAGTTCCTTTACCGTATGCATTGCGACTTTAAAACCTTTGAACCTATTTCTAAACCCGACAAGTTATTGGACCGTGTAAAAGAAGTGTATTCATTTTGATTCTTTGATTTTGTATGATATATTTTTATACTATACTAATTGTTACCTAATTGGCTATTATTTTTAAAGGTCATTTGGAGTTCTTTCAAAGGTCGTTCATAAATTCCAGTCTCTTCAATAATTCGTTTGACGTGAGTGTAGACATGATTCACGTCGTAAACTCAATGTTCTGATTATCTATATCTAAATGTGTACATACCCTGTAAACCGTTCGTGAATTATTGGATACGCTGTATTCAGTACCTATCTGGTATGGTTTGACTGTTGAGGGCTCTGTAATCCTCGCAAGATCGCCGATTGCCTTCATTTTTCTTTGAGACCATATGCAAAGGGGATGCTCATTGACTAGCAGAGGGACGGATAACACCCAGTTGAAGCATGTAGTCGAATTCAGTTCTAGCGAGTTTAACCTTATCTAGTGCTAGTCTCCTAGGTCTAGCAAACACGAGCGCATCTTCGGTTTTGATCATATGACTTGCATTCATTCTGCATCTGGAAGGCTGTGGATTCGATCTGGTTAAGTTTGGAAATCCCGCGAGTATATCTTAGAATTTCGCCATTATTACTGGCGGAGTTTGCATCGAATTGAGAGATGTGATGCGACTTTCTCTGCCTATTGTGCAATTCGAAGTTTCATTCAGTGTTGGGCGTCGCTTTTTTAGCGTCAAGTAGAAGTTCGTACCTCTCCAAAAAGTCCATCCCCAGTATTGCCAGATCTAAATCGGTCACAATGAAAACCCAAGGGAATTGCCTCCTGAATCCTAAATCTAGCGTTAAACCTTTCCGCCCGAATGTCGCAATTTTAGTTTTGTTGGCAACTTGAATTGTAACTAGGGTTGTTTGTCGACCCAGTTCAGTTTTTTTTTGAGGAATGATACTATGAGCATTGCCAGTATCTATCAATAAGTTTAAGCATGTGTTTCTGTTTCTAACTTGAAACAAACGACTGTTTAGGCACCCCTTCTCAGTTGACGCGACCTGGGAAGGGGTTATTCGTTTCCCAACTTCCTGTGTTTCTCTTTGGGCCGGGTGCATTGTTGTCTGCACTTGATTGACTTGACACCAAACTTCCAGCGGTACCAACAGAACTGTCCAAGTTATTTGAACTTTTTTCCTGTTTTAGACTTGGATCTTGTTCGTTGTGGCTACATGCTCCAGTTTCTATCACCCATTCGCATTCTGATGACAGCCTCATTGAGACTTTTAAAACTTTCAGTGAGTCATTCAATGACTGGGCCCACTGATGGTTCTTCTTTTTGTGTGATTTATCGTGCGTGATCCAGTTGAGGGCAACCTTTCCGTTATTCTATCAGCCATACGCGCTAAATAAAGTAAAGAGGTTTCGGGATATTTCGCATCCAAACAGTGTTGGACGTAACACGGGAGAGCTTGTATCCATCCTTGTATTAGGACTGCTTCACCCACTGTGTTGTTACCAACCAAGAATTATAGATGGACCCAAAACTGTGACGGCGACCTATCATCTAATGTCTCTCTTCGAGAAAGTCTTTTTATTCTTTGACCGTCTGATAATAATGAACGGTTCAATATCTCTCGTCTTAAGATAGTGGACTTAAAATCAAGTCACGGACTTCTTTGGCGACTGAAGGAGGGAGGACAGAACAGAAGTCTTAGATTTTGATATTATGTCTAGCGAGATAATGTTCTAGGTGAGCGAATCACAACTCAGGGGCATTACGACCGAATTCTGCAAGTCTGACTTTCGTAGTCATAACAGTGTCTCTCTGTACTGATGACAAATACCCCGGGTTTTGGGTTTGCATTGAGTTTGACACCAGGTTTATGACCAAAATAGTGATATAATAACGAAAAATGATTAATACAGCACGGGTACCTTAAGGTAAAAAAAACTATGTACGGATATACATATATATATATATATAAATATATAATCACACTTTGGTTATGGATAATCAGTAGGTGTAACTTTATGACTAAGTTTATCAAGTGCAATTAAATTTGTTTGCTTCACAAAGCTCATCAGTTTCGTACCTGTATGTAACGCCCGTTCTATTGACAGAATAAACCAGACCAGTAGTGAATAGGTCTTTATTTAGATCGCGGGACAGTCACAGTGGAGCGGGATGTTACCTGTTCAGGCACAAAAAGCTTTTCAACACTCACTATGAGGTAATGGGAAATATATTATCTATACGAAATAAGGAAGTGAATGAATGATTCGGCTCTACTGTTTTGACATATACTTAGTTATTTGAGGCCAACTCTTGATTAATCAACCTAAGCTATTACAGAAGGATATATTTTAAAGATTGTTGGTGTACCGAGAAGTATTTGACCTAAGCATAATAGTTTTCGCTGTGAACTGTGTAACACAGCGTATTCAACAGTGATCTAGTGCAGATGATTTGTCTTGTGGACGACCATTAGTATCCACAAGAGGGACGCTAACGTATGCTCCAGTGTCTACAAGGTAGAGAACCTTCGTCACCAAATCAACAGACGGCCATAATCCTGAATGACCTGACCTTGGGGAAACAACAAAGTTTCTTGAAATTTCTGGAAGAATTGCCATATGTGTTACGGTACGAACGCCAATAGGGGGTGTATGTCCAGAAAGGTATTCTCCGTGCCGGGCTACTTTGATGGTGTTTCGGACCGTCTGTCATCCTTCTGAAAGTTAAGAAAACTAGTAAGCGTATTACAGAGGTTTACGATTTCGTTTTGTGTCGTTTGACGCTTTTCCTTGATAGAATAAAGCTGTGTTATTTACACAACTACTTTGGGAATGTATTTTAATTCAGCAATACATAAACATAAGCAGAAGAAACGATACATGTCCCACATGTTCATATCAAAACTGGTATTACTACTAACTACTCGTTTATAAACCTCTTATCTTCATAAGTGTTAATTTCTCGAATTCGAATTCTTTTAAAAACAGCCCAAAGGGTTATTGATCAGAAATTTTATTAATAAAAGTCAGGGTGTCATCCTAAATCGCCCCAGAGGATAGAAAATTAGCTCATCACATTGGTATTGGATATTGGTCAGCATACGGCGCACTTGAAGAAGAGGTTTTTGCGCTACAACTCTATTTTGTTTTAAGATCAGGATGATACTTCATTATGAGGTTTCTGGAGTCTTTCCTTCGTATTAATTGCTTAAAAATGGTAAGTTTACTCTGACTTCATATTCATATCGTCAGGGGCTCAGTAGTTCTCAGTTAGAGAAAGAGATTGCCGGTGACCAACTTCTCAGTGGAGAGCGATATTTTGGGCTGGTGAACGTAAGCATATCCATCTTAACATAAATTTTGTAGTTCGGAAATACATGCTACTGCAATTCAGTAATACAGGCTTTGTTCTTCTGTAAGCCATTTCGAGACAAGGTTTTACAATACAATGATCGAGCAAAAAACCCCAAAAAGGAAACACTACTGACATGTCTTTCGGATCTTTTCTATTCAGTCGTATCTCAGCAAAGAAGGGTGGGCCAGATGCGTCCAAAGAAATTCATACAAAAGTTGAAGCGGGAGAATGGTATGTATGGTCGATTTTTACGTCTTACTTCTACTTAAGGATTATTTGATAACTATCTACAACAGGATGCTCATGAATTTCTTAACTATCTTCTCAACAAAATAGCTGATATAATAAGAGGTAACCAATGTATCACAAACCAGCTTTTTAGCCGAACAACAACCAACCGGAGTAGATGCTGAAGATCCTAGTGATTGTGAAATGACTGATGTTTCCGAGAGTAATAGAAAGCATAGTGGCCGTAACTGGATTCATGAGATCTTTCAGGGAAGTTTAACCAATGAAACTAGGTGCCTTAACTGTGATAATGTTCGCACGAAAGAGGAAAATTTCCTCGATCTATCAGTCGATGTCGGAGAAAATGTTGATATATCTTATTGTCTCCGTTGCTTTTCCGATACTGAAACAATGCGTTCAGACAATAAGTATTACTGTGAATTTTGTCGTTGCAAGCAAGAAGCTCAGAGACGGTGAGTTCTTTACAGACATTGGTTCAAATAACATTTGCTATGTTAACATAACTGCTCACTCCATACGTTTAGTTAGTAAAATTGTTCTTATTTTGATACGAGCCGTTGGAAAGTCCATCCAAAATTAGTCGGTATTTCTATCGCCAAAGATTGCAGTGTATGTTGCTAATACCAGAGTATGGCAACTGACATTACGCAGTCCATGTTGTCTTACGAACGCCTTTGGTTTCGAGATACATGTTACATATTAGACTTGTACATCACATCGCTTGGTATTGAAAGAGAACGAGTTTTGCTAAACTTAAACTTTTCCGGAAAACTTAGTGCACGGAATCAAGGTGTTTTTATTTCAAGTGGAATACAAAAGCCTATAAATATTGTTGCTTGAACTCTAGCCAATTATCTACAAGTTAATTTATTCACAGCCGTCACGTGTTCAACTAGGGTAAAATGTAAATGAAATTGCAACCAGCTCTGGAATATTATAAGCATGGAGATTCCTCAGCAATCAAAAACCACACCTCTCTCTACCGTTTGGATTTTACGTAAATTAGAGTTTTGGAGAACTAGTAAAATCGAGACCTACCAGCTTGTCATGTCTGGTAATTTCTGGATTTCTTTTTACCTAATTAGTATTATTAAAAGTAAGCACTCCTAAGTTGATTTGCCTTTGTGTTTTTCACCACTATCAATCAGATTTCTTGTTTATTTTCTTTAATAGGATGCGCATTAAAAAGCCACCTTTACTTCTAGCCCTGCATTTAAAACGATTCAAGTATTCGGAAAATCTCAATCGATTTATCAAGTTGTCCTACAGAGTGGCCTTCCCTATGGAATTAAGACTATTCAATATGGTTAGTTTTGCTGAAGATTTGTGTTTGTGGTAATTTTCGTGCAGTTGCTTTCACAAATTTCTACTGGTAAATGAGGATTAATCCACACCTATGTAGTTTAGTGTTTAAGAATATCACAGTTTCACACTTCATTATCCTTGATCGGAACAACATGAAATCATAAACTAAATGGTTTCTTACTGCTTTATTTAAGCACAGTTTAGACACGTTGGTTAGTCATGGTCGACATATGACATAACACAAATGTGAGTCGATCCAAGTTTCCATATCACACAAGTACGACGTGTAAACTTTGGAGTTCACAAACTGTTATCACGCTTCACAATGTATAAATTGTTTTTTATTCCTCACATCTATTAACGATTTAGTTGATTTTCTTACGTTTATTTATTTTCACTAACAGTCTAATGACTCATCTAATGATGATCGTCTATATAATCTTATGGCTGTTGTTGTCCACTCAGGCTCTGGACCAAATCGTGGACATTATGTAACACTTGTGAAGTCTCATGGACTGTGGTTTTTGTTTGATGACGAACTAGTTGAAGTAAGTTTCATCTTTCAATTATTCAGTGCTATAACTAGCTTTAAGAGATTTTCTGTTTATCTATCCAAAATAGGCTTTCTGGTTTATAGGGTGATCGATACCATCCCTAAAGGATGTTATGAATCAAAAGTCCCAACCACCTAGACAAAGAGATTTGTACCGTCAGTTCGCTGTTTGGGTTATGTTGTTCATGATTTCATAATTCGCTTACTAACTATTTGGGTACCTGTGATATTCAGATGTCACATCAAAAAAGGTAGATCACAGCTCAAGACAGCAACTCGATGCTCGAAATTCTAGTGTTTCTAAGTGCAAAGCCAATACTTCTAATGTCCAATGCCAACATACAAAATCTCTTAAAAAGAAAGCTTAATTCTCACACAACTTGATGTCTTCATGATTTAGTTTCATATCTTTTTTCCGTTCGATCCCATCACCTATTAATTAATGATTTTTCTAGGTATCCTAATAATTTATGGACAAAATAGATTCAATTTAATTATTTTATCGGATTTCATGCTGAAGATTTGTATGTCATGGGGTTGGATTTAATAAAAGATACTCGTAAGCTACTAGTATTTAACCACAGATGCCTTAGAAATATTGCTCGCATCTGCTGGGATCACCGGGTAAGTAATAGTGAGGTTAGACAAAGGGTATTAAGGAATGATGATAAATCAGTTGATGAGGTTGTAAATCTTCATCAACTGAGACGGTTGGGCCACGTGTTACGTATACCTGAACACCGATTACCACGACGTGCAATGCTGACTAGTATAGGGGATGGTTGGAAGAAAGTTAGAGGTGGCCAAACCAAAACGTGGCATCAGAGCTTGAAGTCACTAACTTCTAGTCTGAGCCATGTTGGCAGACGCAGACAACTTGGTTGGGGTCTGCGCAACTATCGTAACCAATGGTCGGAGACTCTAAGTGACATGACTCAGAATCGATCACAATGGCGTCGGTGTGTACACTTTCTGTCTTCCTTTAAACCTCGAGATTAAAATTGCTTGATATCTGTCTTTCTTCCTTACTATATCCTTATATAAACCTTTATTTTATATATTACCACCACTAAATTACCTACTATGAATTCGGTGTTCATCTTGTGCTAATGAGGTATGGCAACTATGACTGATGCATATATGTGCCTGGTCTTACGTTGTAGCTGACTGACTGGATTTGATATTATGTTCTCCACACTCAGATTGCCTACCTTTTCCACTTTTAACTCCACAGTTAGCTTGAATATTTACTAGTCGGTGACTCATACACACGTAAATACTTTTTTGTCGTCCAACACCTTCAAATTCTTAGCTCATGTTTAAGTAAAGGCTTCACATCCATCCCGTCTTTTTTTTAGTTTTATAAGCCAGATATTTGCTGTCCATCGTAAATATCATTCTTGGCCTAGTGTTCAAACTCCATGTAGTAATTGGCTTGAGTTTTCTCTCTTAGAGGGGTCTGTTATTCATTGAACCAGTTATTCATATGTCACTTATCGGGTTACGCTTTCAAATTTCGTTCCATGTGATAAAATGTAATAAATTGTTGTAGTTTCTTAGCCCTCATAGATTAGCATGACTCATACTGTACACAAGTGTAATTACTTTTTATATTTCTTTTAAAACCATAAGTATACGCATATAATTAAAATTTAAATTCTGTATTATAATGTGGCACTACTTTTCCGCCTAGAAAATCCATCGCACCAATATTGAAGACTTTTTTGGTTCGTCTACGGAAACCTCGAAATCTTCTTATACAGCCTACATTCTTTTCTATTTAGACGCTAAAGTTGCTTCAAGTACATCAACAGCTACTGATAATACTTCTACAATAGTTAGTAATAGTACTATAGGTGTTGGTGATAGTAATGGTAGCCCTACCAGTTCAATATCATCTGGATGTATTACCTAACTAGATTCTATTATATTTTCTTTTATTTCTGTCTTTTACTCTACCATCAATTTTTTTTAGTTTTTCACTTAGTATTTTGCATTTCCAGCTTTATGCTCAATTGAATTTGAAATTTTGTTTCTCTCTGTGTTTGTGAACCTTTCATATATGTATGTAAATTAAATGTGGAATCAGATAATATTTCGTAAATTTATTTTTGAGTGTATATATATATATATGTTTCTGTACTTAGGAATAAATCTGAATAAAGTACTATTCAAAAGGAATTATTGTGTCTTTAATGAACCTCTCTTGTAAGAACTTCTACGTGTTTATTTGTATTTATTTATTTTTATTCACACGTTAAGCATGAACAATAAATAGTCCAGGTTATTATATTAAGTAGTTTCTACTAAGTTCCATCATAGTTTTGAATACTTCTACACAACTTTCCAAGTTTATGCCTGTAGAATGTCACTATTGGAAAAGTAAAATAGAGGCGAAAAGAGTTGACAACCCTGTGATCAATCTACTCTTGGTTTGGAACATGATGGAGAAGGATTGGTTGTATCATCTTATTCTGTCTAACTTGTTCCCCTTATAAATGTTTCAAATTAAGGATTACATTCATGTTTAAAACTAAAGTCATTGTTCCCATGCAGTACATGCGATGGTGCCCGAACATCTTTCTCAACTTAGCGTCAATGCATTCATAGTCTGAACAAGACCCAGGTAGCTACATCCAACTCAACTATTCACATATTTTCCATAATCCACGCATTATGACGGTAACTAATTTTCTAGAAGCAACTGGTAGTAGGATTATTTCCTGATGAATAATAATCGCATTATGTAAGCCATTTTTTAAAAGTTGGATATTGTCTTAATTGAGTTACTTGTTACATATTTCAATTTTATCTAGTAGTCCAATAACCGTACGTCTTGATATTGAACATCGGTACAGGAATCTAGCTTATCCTACTTTATTTCCACAACAGCCATTCTCAAACGTTTGAAAAGACGACGGTTCTGCTTGCTTCTGCTCGTACGTCAACTATCTAGTTAAAAAAACAGTTGAATTTCCAAATAGCGGTACACAATTGTAAATCTAGTATGAATAATACTAGTATGTATTTGTTTTATTCAATTGAGTTGAAATCAATGTTTACATAGTCGCATCATTTGGTTGGAATAGCACCCACTTTTTTCCATATTTATAATTCATATCTGAACTGATTTACCTTCACAACTCTAAATGGATGAGACAGAAAACGTTAAGCCATGTAGAACAGACTCAAACCTTTACAAATTTAAGCATAATAAATATTAAATCAATAATTCTCATTTTTTATAAAACTTGTTTTAGATAGTTCAAGTTCTGAATATGAAAAAATGCTAGCACTTTGTTAGCCGAATTAAAAATATACAACCTGCATTTTCTGCCAGTTTTCTAGAAGCTATTGTTTCGGATTTTGGGGGGCGGTTGTTAAGGCGCCTCTGTAACTTGTATATGGTTCTCATCTACGGGACACCAATACGTTTTACTTTTGATCTTACAAGACATTAACGGATTCGAACCTACCTCGGTTGGTGCTATGGTAGATTTTGTGTCCCAATATTTCCAGTGAATACATTGGGATTACAAGCTGATCATTCTAGAGTTATCATGCATTCTTTTAAACTCTTGAAACACAATGCAACTCTTTTGAGATTGTAATCACACCCCACTGGTGACTGTCAATATTACTGAAATGATGATTCTGCTGTCTTATTTGAAACAAAATAAATATGTTTCTTGAATGATTACTTACCCACTTGAACATAACGATGCTGCCCTTTGGCATTCCATGTTACATGTAACCAACGTCTTGCTGTAAGCTATTTGGCTGGTAAATCTGTTTAAGTGCACTTGATCAAGTATTAATTTCTCACAAGTATATATATATATATATATAGTCCCCATATGCTTGGTACGACCGAGAGTGAGGAGAATAGGCTCTCCCTCTCGGAATGCTCTCACATGCCCACGTGCAAACAACCACTGTCAGGGAAGTCCTACTCACTGCCTTCTCGTGGCGGGGGTGTTGATTACAAAATTGAGAGGACGGGAAGCGAATGTCTGGTATTTTAACCGGATTGGTGGGTATGGAAGACTTAATTAGAGGAGTTGGAAAACCCTGATTCCAAACCAAAGGTGCACATTGGCTCCAGGATCCCAAGGAAACAAATGGCGTACGAACCTGTTGTTGGTCACCGGCCACCATGGGACTGCATCTCCTGACGTTGCTCCACTGCCTTATGGATTAGACCTCTAGGTCAAAGGTTCGAGGTGTGGTCGCCTGATAAAACCACTTGCTTTGGTTTGGGCATCCGGGCAGTATTCCAGCCTCCACACATATCGAATGATTTATGTAGTGCATATATAGTTGGTGCCTCTTTGTACCAATGTTTATATGTTTAAATAAATATGTTCGTAAATAAGTAGTATTAGGCGAAAATTTCTACGATACTATTTTGTTTTTCAATGTCACCGAATAATAATATACTTTGTTTTGTAGACAAAATGGTTACTCCAAATCCAACAGACTTATATCGCTTTTGTGATCTTGTCATGGAGTCAGTCGTAGAGATGAGTCCACCATCATATGATTTACCTTGGCTCCCTGGGTTCGAAGAATGTAAAACAGACTATGAACGCATCAAGAAGTTTATGTCAATGCCATTTCTTAGACAATTTAAAATCTCAAGTAATTAACCTTTATTTCACAAGCGGTTATGTAAGAATTTCGTATGTTTGTAACTACCAAATACATTTCTGTCTTTCAGATGATGGATGTTGATGATTTAGAATAAAAACATTGTCTTTTCCACAACTCTCAACATTCATGAAAAATTTCAGAATTAAATCCAGGAACAGTTAGACCATCACGTGCTTGTTTCAAGCCCTTACACCTTTGATATATATGATGAAACAGAAAGTGATTTTCTACCAAATCCTGAACTACACGTTAAGTTTAGTGAATGATAAGTAGAATGTACACTCTTATCAGTTGCTCATATTGTAGTGTGTTATACAGTACTATTTTAATTTCGTAGAATCTCTTTTTAATTTGGACAAAGTAAAAACAACAAAGTGAACAGAATAGCTTAAATTTATACAATTTTTTAAAGAATTCTATTAGCTACTTACAATTTTTGTTATCCGTGTAGCACATTTCAGTATGACTGAAAAATATATAGGCTACAATATCTCTCTCAGTTAAGACTTACGTGACTTAAATATAACATGTTATACATAACGGATAGTTGTGGTATTTAAATCATTTGAACAGTGTCTTTGTAGCTGAAATAACAGTGAGATAGCTGCAAGCTGTTAAAAACAGACAAGTTTTAACCAGTCACATTGCAAGTATCTAGTCATGACGAACAGTAGAACTTATTTATTTATTTATTTGAACACTTGAATATTGGTACAAAGGGGCACCAGATACATATGCGCCACACAAATCGAATGAGATTTGTGTGAGGGCTGTGATACTGTCCAAATGCCCAAACTGAAGCAGGTGGTTTTCTTAGGGGGCCACACCCGGAGCCTTTGACCTAAAAGTCTGATCCACAAGGCAATGGAGCATCGTGAGGAGATGCAGTCCCACGGTAGAACAGCAGTCAATTAGTTGGTTAAACCATATCAACCAAGACCGGGCTATCGAGTGACACTAGATACTAATAGATTTCATAAACTATGGATCCTAATTCCGTTTTAGATAATATAGAGTATTGTTTTTGAATTTTAGCAAAGTATGGTTCGCAACCAATGAACTTTATAAAGGTCGCTTAACGCGTATTACGTGAAAAAAATGATCGTAGAAAAATCAACCCCTCTCATTCTCAGTTTGTAATCGATTTCCGCTCAACCATTGTATATCTTTATTCTCCAACGTATTTACTCATGACATTCGTGTTTATTCCCTCCCATTTTTTTCAAAGGGTGATTTTAGTTAGTGTTTCAGAACTTGCTTTAATATTAGTTTTATTCGTTCCACCAGACTGTTGTCATCAACAGATTGGTTTTGTCTGGGAAACTATTCTAAATCAAAAGGTAATGGTAACGTAATAAATATAAGAACAGCTTCCTGATATTATTTTGGGACATGCATGACCGAGCTATCCATTATAGGGAGTTGCTGTTCGCTCTCTAGTTCGAGTACTAATTAACCCCTCTAGATTGCCCGTATATGACCAATGATTGGTTAGCTAGTGACTCATTGACTGATACAACAGCCGAGATCAGTACTTTACGTCTGTTGCTTCAGGATGTAGTTTCCCATGTTCTTTTTCCCGATAACCAGTATAGAACTTTTTATTTAGACCTTAGATCAGGAGCTAAACGTAATATAAAAGATCCAATATTGAACAAGACAGCTACTCAATGTTCCCTTGTTTATTGGGATCTTTTGGTTAGTATCAGTCCATGATAATTATCTTTAAGCTATATCATTGTTAACAAGAGTTTAAATGATCCTTTTATTGATATTTAGAACTTCAGCCTAGTCAGTCTTCGTTAGCGTATGTCTTTCCTGTACCGTTTGCTTAGATATAGACGTTTTGCCACATGTCTCGTTCCATTCGGGTCCAAAATAAGACAATACGCATTCTGCACTTAACTGCTAGCCGAAATTCGTCTATTCTATATTTTAAGATCATTTAAAAGCCTTAGAATAATATCGCTCTATTGTAGAATTACTTATTTTTTCTGTTAGTCTCTGACCAATCACCAGCTGCGAAAAATGATTCCATCGCTAAACAAAAACGTGAACATGGAAATGAAGCATGGCGTACTAATAATCTATCTTTAGCTCTTCGTTACTACTCTGAAGCGATTTTCTTTGCCTCCAGTCCTGAAGAGAAAGCTCTAGGCTATGGTAATCGGTCATGTGTATTAAGTCGTATCGGTGTTCATGAAGCAGTATTACAAGATATTGATCTGGCTATTAAAGTAAGTTTAAATTCAACTAAACTTATGAACCCAATAAAAAGTAGAGTTTTTTAAGTAACTGGTTTAAATTCCTATTCAATTATAAAAAGAACCTACTGCATATTTGTATACACTCATTTTTTTCTAATTACTGTGAAATTGAGATTGTCCAGCTTTTACATTCATCATCTATTATATTCAGATTGTGATTGGTTATGTGCACTGTTAACTAAAAATGATGCACTATTACCGAGTCGTACATAAGTGAACACTTTAGTAGGTAACCGGAAATATGTATTGTACTTAGTTCTGTAGAAAGAAAGTATTCTTATATTTTGTCACTATGTACCTGCTTGTCACTTTGTTAAGGGGATTTACTTTACTATATATATATATATATATATAATACTACCCAACTTTTCAGATCCCGAAGTCGAGATTTTAATCCTGGCAGTTATTATATTTGACAGTCGAATGTAATTGTCAATCGTAGCTATCATAGAATCTCGCTCAGATGTGTGTCTGTCACACCTTATTTCAGCCCCATCAGATGGGAGAGATCAGCAAAATCAGAAGGTATGTGTAACATGTATCATAACTATCTCAGTCAATGAAGGCTTTTAGCTTCTTTAGTCGGATTGACATACCTGTCCAATGCTACACGCTCAACCGTAACACCACTCTCTTGGAGGTTGAGGTTAGTCGTTGTTGAATGCTGCTTATAATATTTAGTCACTCAGTGGCAACTAATTTCATGTCTAAGTTATTCTTCGTGCTTTTATTGAGTTTTGTTAATCATTTGTTCCGTGTTCATTTCTCTAATTAACCAGATTTCGTGATGCATTATTTTCAAAGTTAAGGTAGGAAGCTTTAGACCTAAATTCAAGACCTAGATTTTATAATACGAATCTTCTAATTTAGTTTAACACAGCTTTCTCAGTTTGCCTCACAGACAATCGTTAGAAATCGAGACGTATTAGATAGTTGCTTCGTCTAATTCTGAGACTACCCAGCTGTAAGCATCCACAACAATACCGGAGATCAAACTCAGGACTTTCATATCTCGTGGCAAATGCTTAACCTTTAGAACATCAACTGAAATGATGTTTATAAATAACATTGCAGTTCTCATTGTAACTAACACTAGCAATAGTTGCTAATAAGTTCTTTCATTATTCTCTCTTTCCTGATTTGCCCTTAAATGTTTCTGACCCCGACCAAAGATAACATCATTTTAAGTCAAGTCCGAATCGTGATTTTAATAATCGGGTGTTCAGTTCATAAAATAATTCAGTATGGTTGTGTTACAGTTTGTAATTCAGATACATAAAGTCATTTCTCAGGAAACATTAGACCTACGTTACACGGCACTTGTAAGCTATGTTCCCTTTTGCTGAAGTATACGTGAAGTTGGTTCTAAAGACTGTTGAAGCACTAGTTTCTCTAATTCTGCAAATTTGTGAAACCCTGTAGACACATTTCAGTAAATTGAATCCAAGCATCCTTCACCATATTACTATGTTCAACCAACGTAGATCAACTGATAACGCTGAAATGTTTTTTCATAGTTTCCAAGTTACAGAAGAAAAATACATATAGCGTTTACACTTCACATTGCCGACTAACTTTTTTTCAAATACAGGTGTATTGTAAATTCCAATCAACAAATAAAATGTTCGTGGTACTAAATTTTAAAGTTAATGAATATGCAAATAAACATAACTACTTCCCTAAGTATACAGTCTTTAGCAAACTATTACTATTATTATTATTATTAGCTTTATTCAATATCATATTTTTGGTACAATATAGAGTTCTTAGCACAAAGTATTCCAACAAGTTTCCGTTTCTTGCTTCTTGGTGGATCTTGACGATAAATATTGGGTGGTCGCCAGTTAAAAGTCCAGTCAATCGACATCTAAATAACGTACATTCTCTTCTCTGCATATTGCCAGCAACCACGATATCTCTGATTAGGTTTTTTAGTAACTTACACAACGAAAGGTTGTACAATTTTCAGAAGGGCACCTGATTAGGTTATGCGATTAATGGACATACTGATGAAATAAAGCAAAAAAAATTAGATAACTTATTGAAATATCTAGATGGCAGGAAAAGGTGGCCCAGATGTTCAAGCAGGCCGCATTGTGTGCGAAACATTTCAATTTAATATTAGCCTATTCATGCCCTGGTACGACCGAGAGTGAGGAGAATAGGCTCTCCCTCTCGGAATGCTCTCACATGCCCACGTGCAAACAACCACTGTCAGGGAAGTCCTACTCACTGCCTTCTCGTGGCGGGGGTGTTGATTACAAAATTGAGAGGACGGGAAGCGAATGTCTGGTATTTTAACCGGATTGGTGGGTATGGAAGACTTAATTAGAGGAGTTGGAAAACCCTGATTCCAAACCAAAGGTGCACATTGGCTCCAGGATCCCAAGGAAACAAATGGCGTACGAACCTGTTGTTGGTCACCGGCCACCATGGGACTGCATCTCCTGACGTTGCTCCACTGCCTTATGGATTAGACCTCTAGGTCAAAGGTTCGAGGTGTGGTCGCCTAATAAAACCACTTGCTTTGGTTTGGGCATCCGGGCAGTATTCCAGCCTCCACACATATCGAATGATTTATGTAGTGCATATATAGTTGGTGCCTCTTTGTACCAATGTTTATATGTTTAAATAAATAAATTATATATGTCAGCATATATGTTCATGCAATTGGAGTCTAGCGACTTAAACACTAAATTCTCGATATCTAAATCTTAATTTAGAATCTCATAATTCTAATTTTGACTTAGGTTAGTTAGTCTATCTTGTTGTAATATTAATATGCATTGTGTTTCTATACTTCTAGCTTTTACAAGATTGCAATTCGTAAGTTGTTGAAATTCTATGGTTGGTTCTTCATTTCTGTGGAGTTGTTTAATTCGTTTCACTCCTTTATTCTGGCTTTATTACAACTTAACCTCTTTTACTTAAATTCTCCTTTTACTATAAGAAAATAAAGTTTGTGGTGTGCGAAAATAGGTGATGCGTGCCTTAGCTATCAAAAATATTTGGGTTTTAAATCTGATGAGTTAATAAGTTTCCACATTTTCCTACTCTCAACATAGTTATTTCATTTTCACCCCTACGACCATTTACGACCGATCGCACATTTTTGTATCGCCTTATTAGAAAGCCTGCATCTACTGATGCAATTCAAACCAAAAGTTAGTGACTTCATGAATAGTAAACTATATGCTACTCCACACACTTTTCAACAGGCTGTATATGATGAATGTTGACAAAAACTACTCGAGCTTTTTGTATCCATATTGAGATTCTCCCCGTTACCTACTCGTTCAAGTTGATAAGACTCCTAAGATAAGTGAAATGGTTAACTCTTTCAGTTAATTCGCTCTTTACAACTTAGTTGGAAAAGGATCGTAAACTAAAACAAATCATATTAGTGATTTATTAAGTCATATATTCGAGATACAAACAGATTGCTACGTTAAGTTAAGCTTGAAACAGTTTCATATAAATATATCAGTTTTACTGGTAGATAGAAATAATAATCTAAGATAAGAAGAATGTTTATACATTGTGATCAAATCAATCGATAAACATCATCACAGTATTGATTTGTTTAATCATGAGATTTATTTATTAAAATATCTTGGATTCAGTGATAACGCGCGTCCTGGATTCCACTGCTAGCCACTATCCATCTCTGCTAACCAGTGATAACTTTTGTTATTCCCTTTTTTTCAGTCTATCCCTTCATTTCTATTCACATATTTTAGTGAAATATGTATTTGTTTTAATGATTAGATCTACAGAACTTTTATGTGTTGTCACAGTAAAAAAAATACAGTGATCATGTTAAACTTTGTAATCACTTGTTATTCATGTTGTCAATTGCATGTATGTTTCGATATGATTACACTGTCAACATTGTTTTAATTCATTGTTTTCTTCTTTTTTCACTAGAGAGTCAGTCAGTTAGTCACTAAAGTGTGATAATTAAAATTCAATAAAAAAATTACTTTATCACTCTCGTTCAACTAAAAGGTTGATACTGTTTAAATTAAACTATAGTTTTTCATAAGTATCATAACTGTTATAATTGATTTGTTAGTAATATCTCTCTCCATTTTATTTGAGTCATTCTCTTGATTTCACCATCAATCAATGATTTTACTTTTTAAAACTTGTCATATATTTTCAATTGCCGGTTATTTTTACTGTATTTTCTTTGTAAAAGTATAATTTCCCTAAAGATCGTCGTCCACGTCTATTTATACGTCGTTCACAAAGTCTTATTTCGTTGAAACGCTTTAAAGAGGCATTAACTGAATTCAATAACTGTCTGGAATATATGAAATCTGAAAATTTAACTATTCCAAACAGTTTAAATGAAATGATACAAAAGGGAATAAAAGACTGTTCAACTATGAAAGAAGATGAATTATTGATTGATGATTCAGTTATACCATACTTTGTACATGAGGCGAAATCGTTAATAATGAAGCATGGAAACACTCAAAAGATTATTACAAAGAATTGTAATAATTCTAATAATGGCAGTAATATTACGGACCATAATTTACATCCAAGCATTCTTCGCTCTCTTTATATACAAGATCCACCAGCAGTGAGGTTAAATTATAATGATGAATTTGGTTGGCATATTGTAGCGACAAATAATATTCAGCCAGGTTTGTATACTACATTATTTTTAAATCTGGCATATAATTCATCTGTTCCAGTTGTCACACCACATTAAGATAGCTAGGTAAAATCATCGAAATAAATCTTAGTGTAGTAGAAGTATTAACAGTATCAGCAGTAGCAGAAAAGATTAAGCATAGAAAAAAAAGAGGTAGTGTAAGAAGATTTCTGGACTCAAGGTTTAAGAGTAAATAAAGAGTCAATACATCCATTCCATTGTGAATGTTTTTGAGCTATTTCACCCAGCGTCTCCAACTACTTGTTACGATAATTGCATAGGCTCCAACAGTATAGTTTTCATATATCAACACCGCTCATTTCCATAGTCCGTGGACTGATGTTGCATTTCCGTTTCGCCTCCCCTAGCTTTCTTCTGGTCCGCACTAGACAACATCTGTCGAGATAGGCAGTGGTTGGACGTAAGTAGGGACCCGTTAATAATAATCATGTGCTTAATAGTAACTAACTTCAAGATGCAACTCCTATAGTTCTAGTGAAAGGTCTAGCTCAGCTATAAAAATAATGGCATTGTTGTCATTCTAATAACAAGAATTCAAAAGTTTTAAGCAGCGTTTTCTATGATCGAATTGCTACGTTTTTGATTGTTGTCTTCCTATGTGTTCAAAAAGCACTTATTTGAATCCGAGTAATATTTACACAAACTTACATTTCATCGTTGTTTATATCAATCTAGGTTATCGAAAAAATCTATTGGTTTGAAATAGCCATCATTATAGCTAAAAATAATTTGCTATAGTTTACCTGAATCATCACTATTATTTCACTGCGTAGCAGCCAATATTGATCTATGATACTCGTTTTATCACTGATTTATTCACTGACAGAACTGTAGGTGCTATGATTGGAGGGATAGATTTCTAGGAGACTTAGATTTTTGAATTCTTCACGTTTATTAGTAATTTATACGTTCAAGTACTTAAGTAATAAGCGTAAATTTATTTACTCAGCTTTAAACCGCACGTTTTCTGTAAGAGGGCTAATAATAAGTTTTGGCCACTTGAACTAAAGTGGGGCTAGGTCCAAACTAGCAACCTCCTAGCTGAAAGTCGATTATATTAGCCCTCAGACTAAGAGTTCACAAATTATACCTTCCATCATGCTGAACTTCATTCTCCTGAAATCCAGAGCTGTTATCGAGTTTAGTTTTTAAGTTTTATGACAATGCACACATTCTGGGCTGGCCAAATAGTGAGTAGATTACTTATTTATGGATAATAAGCAGTAATATGGTCTGGCCGACGAATAACTTTCCAGGAGGTCGAATTTCTGACATAAAGCTCCCGAGAAACGAACGCTTAGGGAGAAAGCAATGTATCACCAAAATTAATTATTTCCTGCTAAATAATGTACAACATTTTGAACATAAAAATCAATATGATCAGGAATTGTTTAGAACCTATGCGATTGGAGAATGTTGCAATGAGTTTAAAACATATCAAGTTCGATTTTTGTCCATATCAGCAACCTAGTCAATTATTATCATTCCATTATTTTAATGCTCGTAAAAATGTAAGTTCAGATTTATTATTATTATTCAATTGAATCTGTTAACAGATTGTTTCAAGTTCAACTTGACAGCTTGTTAACAATTCTTTTCTTTCAGGTGAACTTCTCATACTGGATAAACCATATTCTTGTAGACTTCATTACAGTAGATTACTACTCAATTGTTATCGTTGCTCTAAACGATGTATCAATCCTATACCTTGCCGTAGTTGTACTCAGGTGATCAATTGTTTGATTGTTTATTTTATATTATCGTACTATTTTCTTGTCGGTTTTTCCACTAACATCATTTAGGGAAGAATCCAAAAGTTTATACTTTTATTGTGCCTCGAACTAATACGGAATGGCTGTTCTGTTCTAGTGTGAGACTCCCCAGCAATGGACATTATTTAGGCGTCTCATACTAATCTGATGTGTGCTACTTATAAGGACAGATATAAGTAGTATTTACCAGGAATTAGAAGTACAATTCTTACTGACCAGGGAGGAACATGAGGAGAAAGAAAGAAAGGCAAAATCAATCCTTGTAACAACAGGAAAGGAAGAACGACGGAGTTTGTAAGGGACAATTCAAGGAAAATGTGCAAATGGTGTATTCATTATATTGTTTTCATATTTTATTTTTTGTTTTTTGTTTCAGTATTATCGTAATTACGAAGTCTTTTTCATATGACAATGAATCTCGAACTCACAGTGAATAATATATTACTATCCATCCGTTCCATCTGAATCCGGTCCTCTATATATTCGAACTTAGTGATATATATTGTGACATGTCTGCAGCTGGAATTCGATAATAACATTATTGTATCAGTTCAGAAAATCCGAACTTCCTATATCTGAGAGGCATCAGATTGAAGTGATGAAACCCGTTTCTTAATCTACGTAGAGAAACTCAATAGTCAATGTTAGCTTGTAGTAACATGCACTAATAATTCATACTTGAATAAGAATTTTGTTTTCTGTTTTGATGTACTTTTTTTTGAAGGTTGGCTTTTGTAGTGAATTATGTGAACAAGAAGCTTGGAATCCAGTATGGACTGATATTAACACATCATTGCCGTTAGAGTTGACAACTGATTTATCTCTACCGTGCCATCGTTTTGAATGTGGACTTGTTGATCGACTGATTATAGAAGATTATGCTGGTTGGAAAAGATTACGTAGTAAATCGTTAAATGACTTAACAGTACCAATGAAGAAATTGAAGTCATTCATTGATAAATTATCTGATGATGATGTAATCGGTGGACCGAATATTTCGTGGCTTGCATTCGCTCTTTTAACTAAAACGGCTCCAAACATTTTGAATAGATTAATCAAGGTGAATTGATATATTTTATTATATTAATAATCAGGACTCGGGTTTTGTCCTATTTTTGAGTTTTCAGCTGGATATACCTTCTCAGTGTTGACGTTCACATTGAATTTCACATTCAGAACATATCGCTTCAAACGCTAGCGCGTTATTTACTGACTTATTGAGTCCAGAAAACCAATAAATTATTTGGGTATAATGTTTATATCATTATTGGTATGGATTTGTATTGTCCCATTTTTAATATTCAGGACTGAATTTGAACAGATGGACGTCAGACTTAGTTTTATTAAAATATTCTTTCCCACTAATTGTCGCAGTTCTATGAGACATTCACATCATGAGTTAATATTAGACTGAACCAGTTTGAGGGTTGTTCGTTATTAAACGGGGTATCAGATACGTATATCTTATAGCGGGTTGCATTTTACACAAATATCGTACGACATTCAGGAGGGAGAATATATTTTTATACGTGTTTGAGTATACAAAAACAATTACCATTATAATTTTTCATAGTTTGGGTCACGAAACCATCATAGCTACACCATCATTGAAAATCTCCAAGAAATAGTATTGGACTTCTCAGTAATGCTCATCCACAATCCAACATCCGGGACTCAAGCCTAGGACCTTCGATTTCACACGCAAACGCCTAAATTCCAAAACACTGAACCGGGATCTAATGATGTTAATGTCTAGTTTTAGTCAGTTCACTATATTGCTCAATAAGTTTTCCATTACCTGTGTTAAATAACTCACACCCGACATGAACGATATGGTCGTATAATACTTTTCGGTTTTCAATGGTGGTCTATCTAAGATCGGTTTGTGATCCCATTAAGTATTACCCTATATATATATATATATATATATATATATATATATATATATATATATATATATATATATATATTGAGTGAATAATTTTAAAAATCTTAAATATTCATTTCAGATTTCCTTAAATAAATTGACTTGTCAAAATGATGAAAAACCAATAAGCAAAGAAGAATTATCATCATTTACTGGTAATCGTGTTGTTCCGCAACAAAGTTGGGATGATTATACAACTGTTGATTGGCTTACAACAAATTCAATTAAACGTAAAACTAGTGATTTATGGCAACGGACTGTTGTAGCTGTTTATCTAACTTTTTGTCTTGAAGTAAGTTTTATCTTTCATCTACTGTTCTCATCGTTATTATTCCCTCATATACTATCAGGAATTATTTTCAAAAGAATAATTCACACTAAATCCAAGAACTTTTATAATTATACCTGTTTCTTGATTTGTTCTGTTTATTTGTCTATGTAGATTTTACTGATATGTTATATTCTATTATCCATAGAAGATTAAATTTGAAATTGACAAAGTAGTTAGTTGTAAATCATGGAGGATGGTGATTGATTTGTACACATATAACTCAGATTTTAAAAAGTGCTTCGACCATGTTATTAAGTAGGAAACAGTTTTGTGTACCTGAATCTAGCTCTTGTACTTCAAGTTACAAAAGCGGTTTCATAAAACTCTCAGATATGTCAAAAAATGAACAATATTTGAGCGAACAATTGTTTTCAATAACTTCATCATCAGGCTCTACAGTTATAAGTCCATAATTATGATGATATTTAACAAAGGCCAAAAATGAGGCTTCTATTAATTAATTTGACAATGTTATATGTTAAAAATGGTAAACGTTTGCATCTGTTACGACATATATATATATATATTATACTGATATATATATATATATATATACTTACAAAATTGTTATTTATAATTTAGAAAGGTCATTTAATAAAGGTCAAAGTGATTTGTAATCAAGTGTCCAGTCACAATCGACATAATAGTAATTTAGAAAAAATGAAAATGCAAAAAATTGTGTGAATAAAGTGCATAGTAGGAGAATTTCATCTTGCCCATAGAGATAATAATGATAAATAGTAATAGTAATAATAATAAGATTGTTGTGTGAATATAATATGTAATAAAAGGGGGATGTTATCAAGATAATTACGATAAAGGAATTGGGAATGATGGATGTGAAGATTAAGATAGAGGTGATCAACAAAAAAGGAAGAAAAGGAAAAAAACGGGGGAGGTTTATAATATTTAGTTTAGGAATCCGGTGATCCAGTCGTAGGCCAAGGTAAACATAGTGGCTGGATATACTTTTTCTGGATGCATAAGTTTGGTTTTCTGGAGTTGATCCAAATGGCTTCGGCTATGTAAAGTAATCGTAATCTAGCTCTTTGAGGAAGAGTTTTCGGAACTTGATATAAAACAGAGAAGGCTTCCTCTATTTTGATATGATGTTCACTGTCTACCAGGTGAGAAAGGATGGCGCTGTTAATGGATTTAGTGACTCCTTTTCCCAACCATGCTGGTACATGTTCACGAATACGCAAGGATAAAGCCCTCTGAGTACGGCCTATGTAACTAGCTTCACAGGAGCAGTTGAATTGGTATACACACATGGAAGAGCCCATCTTCGGTAACTTATCCTTGATTAATTGCGTGAGTACTGGTTTAGTTGAGAAAGTGACGTGAAGCTTGGCGGCGTGAAACGTCCTTTCAACCGATCTTTTCAGTCGGCGTGTTAGAATATCACCCGCTATGTCACCTTTGAAGTCCAGTTTCAAATACAAGGTTTTTTTACTCATTGTTTCACAATTTCTTCTTATTTTAACAGTATTTTTTACTAGGTATTTCTTAACGAACTTATCTGGGTAGTCATTCTTTCGCAATGTATTTCTTTAGTATATCTATTTCACTCTCAACACTATCCTCAGAACATAATAGCTTGATTCTGTGGCTGAGACATTTAACCAAATTTATTTTATACTGAAGAGGAGTGAAGCTTTGGAAATGGGTATACTGACCCGTCCATGTATTCTTTCTGAATATATTTCGCCTGATAGAACCATCTCTCCTTCGAGAAAGTAGGACGTCGAGGAAAGCTATACTATTGTCTTTCTCTTCCTCGCTGGTGAATTGAATAGCTGGGTGGACGTTATTGAAAAGTCCAACATCTCCTGTTTGTCAACCATTTCGTGGCATACGATTAGTGTGTATCGACAGTAATAGTCTAGCTTACTTAGGGTGTCTTTTAAGGGTCCATTTTCCAGTTTGGCCAGAAAAATGTCAGCAAGGATCGGGCCTAGTGGTGATCCCGTTGCTACTCCATCTACTTGTCTATAAAATTCATTGTTAAACTTAAAGTAGATATTCATAGTACATTTCAACAGGAGTTCTTTCATTTTATGTATTGGAATCGGTATCTCTATTTTCTTTTCTAGCACTTGTTCACATATATAATCGATAGTTTCAATCAGGGGGATGTTAGTGAACAAGGATGCTATGTCTAGTGATAGCATGGTTTTACCATTTATATTCCTATTTTCTTATTGAATCCACAAATTCAAACACGTCTTTAACACTGTGGTTAACCAGTTCTTGGTGTAATGGTTCCAATAATTTCACTAACCATTTTGCTGTTGAATGGTATGGTGAGTTTGACATGTCCAGAATTGGACGTAAAGGAACCTCAGGTTTGTGAATCTTAGGTAGGCCATAAGAAATTTCCAGACGACTGTAAGCGGTATGTTTTCAACTTTTCCTGTGTTAATCTCGATAGGACTCAACTAGAGGTTTTATCATTAGGTCCTAAGTTTTGTGATAGTCGTAGACATGTGGATCATCTGAAGACTGATGTCCAGTTTGATCGCTTTGTTAAATACCATATGCGTGATTATAGTAAAGAGATCTGGGTACAAAATTTGCAGAATTCCAACAAGATTCTCGTTTTGCAAGGATTTACTTTGTTAATATTCAGAAATATATGTATAAGAAGTTCTGATGTGTGATTAACTACTATTTCTCAAATTTTCACGCCCATTCTTGATCCCATGACGTTACTTTTCATCATCCAATATATTTGATATGCGTATTCTGTAATGATTTTCTCTCGTTCCTCTAAAGGACATAGGTCGATGAAAATGTACGAACCACCGTATTGATACTTTTTAGGTTTCTCAGTATTCAAATTTGAATATTTTAATAAGACTGCGTAAACACAAACGGTTGAAAGAAATAATTAGTTAATTGAAACAAATGTAAAACATGAAAATTTATAGCAATAGATGCTTATTTGGAAGAATGATGGCTCAAGAGCTTGTACAGGCCCTTAAAAAAATCTGTGTTAATAATTCCTAAACTATTATGAAGTTTGATTTATCCGAAATCTTTTTCTAAAGTATCCTGATAACTTTCAACTGTGCTTGCATAAGGTGGTTTTCTTTCACCCAATATTTTAATAAACTTTTCACTGCTGGTACATCTTGATATATATTATGTGACTGCATTGCGTACCCACACCAACTGAACCAGATTTTATTAACACAAACACAAATTAGTTGCTTTTACACCACTTAACTGGGATCCGTTGTGTTCAGACTAACATCCTTAGTCCATTTGTGATATAGCGCGATGTCTACCCAGTATCTCCATCTGTGGTGATTTATGTATCATACTTAACGTGATCAACCTCCACTAATAAGGGCCTCTCCTGACTATAATTTTGTGAATTTTACTCGAAATTAGTTGCTAATGCTTGTGTGATTACTATCGTTAGAAAAGACGTTTTGTGGGAATGGTGTGTGAAATTTGAAGCTTTTTATCTGTTTAAAGTTAGTTTGTTGAATTAATATAATTTGCATATCAAGTGGATACCTTCTTGTAGTGTTGTGTTTCCAGCTAGATGGTTTAATTAGAAAGCTGTCTTTGTTGTTTTTGATGACATCATCAGCGCCTGCTTCATATGGAAGTCTACGTGAAATATGAGCTGATGATATCTTGAATAATAACAACAGCTCCAAAATAAACCATCTAACTCAGAGAACACAGCATCTTCAAAAGTTCTTCTGTGATATAATTTACATTTGAAGTTGAACAGATTTAACAAATCTTCCTAACTAATATTCATTCTAATCGCATTTTTCTTGTTATATTCATTTAGGCTGGTGGTTATCCAATTACCAAAGATGTTGATGATAATAGTCAATCGAATTGTACACTACTGCCATTTAATTGGGCATCTACATGTATATTACATCATCTTCAATGTATCTCATCAAATGGTCATTCATTATCATTGCCTGAATATATTTTTACAGAAAATACTACAACTGTTCATAATAATAATATTAGTGATAAACAACAAAAAATACCTGGTATCGATTTAAACAAATTGACATCAAATGAAATATCTACCTGTTTATATCCAGTTCTGTCATTAATCAATCATTCATGTGATCCAAATATTACTAATGTAACAATTGATAAATTTCAATGTGCGATTTATTCGATCCGACCTATTGAACAAAATGAAATTATTTATGGAAATTATGGTTTACATTATGCAATACATTCTCTTAATGAACGTCAAAGCTCATTACAATCTCAGTATCATTTTCGTTGTATATGTCTTGCATGTATAGAGGATTGGTCACCTTTCATTACTACTACTACTACTACTGATAATAGTAATATGACTAATAGTAGTAAGGATTTCCAATTAAAATGTCTTACGTGTTCTGGTCTAATTAATTTTGGTACATTATTGGATAGTGATAAAAAGTCATCATTAAGAAAAGTTCACTATTGTCAATGCAGTCAACCGATTCAATTAAAGTCATTGAGTAAATTTCAAAAACTTTTTTACAATGATTTATACACTAAATTTGATACTATACCACTAACATTTCAAAAAACTTCACCGAAAAAAATGACAAATAAATTTTTAAATAAATTTATTGTTTATACTAAACAAATGTTAGATACAGAACATTTATATAATATACTTCAACGACCTTGTAATGCTTTAGATTGGTTACAAGAAATGCTTAAACAATTGCTTGATCTTCAGCATACTGGTTGGTCATATGAAAGTAAAATAATTCGATCAGCATTTTAAAGGATGTTCTGATGTTTATTTTTTGTTGCGTAATTGTGTACTTTTCCCTATCGGAGGAACCGAACTCTAATATTGTCCTCTTATTCGATGGATTACAATGACATGGGCGCATCGTCCACCTTTTTATCTTCCTCTAAATAGAATGATCCCATTTAACTATAAATTTCACAAATGGACATCGAGTGAAACTTTTGAACAATAAATAGTATTATGCCCAACAACACCACCTTGCTTTTCAATAATTCTCGTTAGTTTAAGTCTGTGATGGAAATTTTCTTTAAAACGAATGAATTTTAAATCATCCATCCAGAAACTGAACACTAGTCAATACTTATTTACTCCATGATCATTTATTCCCATCTTCCTCATTCTGATGTTTTCGTTTTACTATTCTTAGTCAGAACTACGTTATATTTCATTTCTGAACAGTATGCTGTTTTCTTCGGTTTATTTGTGGATAATTTTGTGACCATGACTCACCTTATTGGGGTTTGTCAGTAGGAAACATTTAAATGGTGTCTTTATTTCTTTATAAACGAACTTCCGATGCTTTTTTCTATTTTTATTTTCTATAATTTGCTATACCGAGGGTTTTTCAAAATTAACCTCATGACAAACTGTTTTGTTATATGATATGGTCATTTTAATCACTATCCCGTTATCTTTTAGTTTGACCAAGATCATATCACCGGTTAATTTCATTCGTAACTTCTTTCTATTAATTTATAAAAATTTTCTGAAGGTAGCTACTGGCGTAATAATAATGTGCTTTTTTTCTATACCATCGAAATAAGTCTTCCAAAGAATATTTAAAAATAAATGGATGCTTTCATGATACTTAAAAACACTTATCATTTTTAAATCTTACGTAATTTTATTATTTGCTACACTATTGTAATCTGCGTTTCTGCTAATTTCCGTCTTGTTTTCAGTTTTCTACAAGTTGTGCCTTGAAGTGTAGTTTGGAATTTTAGATACTTTGCCAACTAACTATATTAAGATTAATTAACAGATGCTTGTAAGGAAAAAGTTTGATTTAAATAGGGCCTTTCCATCTTGACTGGCATCAATTGAAAGCTACCTATCTAGTCCTTCATTGTTATTATTATTAAATTCACTTGGTATTGTTTGGTTGAATCTTCCCATTGATGGTTAGGACTACAATTGATCAGTCTCTTATTGGCATATGTGCATCCTGTGAGGATTGCCTCGATATAGCCTTAATTCACAAGTATTATAAGCAGAAGTTGGGTAGTGCCTAGCAGTTTCTATCAGGACTCAGTAGCTAAATGGTTAATGCGATAACGTTTGAAGCGAACGGTACTGATTTCGAGTCTCAGAGTGAACATCAACTCTGACATGCACTTACATCCAGCTGACGAGTCCCAAATAGGACGAAACGCGCGTCCTGGATTCCACTGCTAGCCACTATTCATCTCTGCTTATATTATTATTATTACTATCAATAATGGTTTCATTCAATATTATATGTTAAATACAATATGGAATTCTCGGCGTAAAATATTTCAACAGGTTTCTTTTTACAAAACGAGAAAAACAGTCGATAACTGCATACCCATATATGTTAACTAAATAAACTATCTGAAATTAAATGATAAGTTTTTTTGAATAGAATTAATTAATCTATGCAAATTTTAATTAGGAATATGTTTAAGAATCCAGGTTATTGACTAGATCAGCTCATACAGCCTATTCGTCGCACAGTAGTTTTTTAAGGTCAGGCATTGTAGAGATTTTAAATATTTTAGTGAATGAATTCCAATGTATTGCGGTCTCATCCTAGAAGATATACAAAGAAAGATATAAATGAAGTGGATGGTTATTATCTGGTAGGACAACACCTGTCAGACGTTTGGAAGATAATAAATGTCTATCGAAAACTATATTCACAGTAACCTCAAAAGACTCATCACACCCTGCTAAGTGTCTTCAACACTCTTCTTAATACAACAAATGTTTTTCGCAAAACTGAACATACTAGTCACGTGGCTATTATTAACATTTGGGCTGACCGAATGCATGATGAATATGTTGAAAATGACGCATATTTATTTAACACAAGTACAAGCTGACTGACGTATGATAGAAGATAAGGATATAACACAGTGCAATCTAATACTGAGTTAACAACGTACGTTTTATGCTTCATTTATATGCTTATCTAACAACAAAATTGTCTAACTGTCAACCAATAAGAATCAATCTAGACCACTATCCACGAGGTTCTTTAACGGTATGTGTGCGTGATGAGAAACCATTTTCATGGTGTCACAAGACATTATCTATTAATGGACTAAAATTTCTATGACTTGTTCGAATTTAGTGAATCTAGTAAATACACTTTTGTGTAGTGCAGTATGTTCAGAAAGAAAGCTAAACAGTTTATATTGTTTTATGACACTATTGAATTGAGAGAAATTCAGTCATTCCTACCAAAAAGTCGTTAGAAAGGTACTGGGATACTTCGTCCATTATTTCTAACTAGTAGTAACCTCATGTGCTGTTTGCAACATGAACCCTAATTTTACGTGTTCTCAATAATTTTTACGATATTTATTTTAATTAATTTGCTTCTTTTTTATGCTGTAGAAAAGTTTATTGTCTAAATTAGTAATTATTAGGAGTGTTAACGCTCTATCAAGTCTCTGATATCATTATTCAGAAGATCAATTGCATACTCAGATTGATAATGATGAAACGATTATAACTTGTAACATCGCAGCTGCATTCATTCATATTAAGCTAAAGAAATGGCCGAGCTCATAGACATATCTGTTATAGTTTATTTTTTTATTTAATAAGAAACTGTACATCTTGACAAATACTTCCCATCGGGCTCGTTTATTTCTAGACCAGTTACTGAAACAGTGGTAGATGTTAATGTCGATCGAAAGTTGAATCCATCATATGCAATCGTTAGATGAGACAGTATGTTGACTATGTATACACTAATCAACAGGTTTTTAAACCATGAAGCTTTCATAATACCTCTTTAATTGTTGTCTTGTTATTGCCAGATATTATTACTACTGGTTTTGTACTATCTCATTGTTGAAATTTTGAAGTGAATTCTTATCAGTTTTTATTGGGAGATACGCTACCTTACTTAGCTATCTAAATGTTATCATTTTACAACCATTTTTAAGATTTCTTGATTTGTAGCTATTAATGAAATCCAGAAAGGGCACTCTGTTCGATTCGAGAATTGTCAATGGAATTTACAACATGACTGTATCAAGAAAATTCTCATACATTTATCAAAATTTATTGCTGACTATAAATTTATTTATTTATTTAAACACATAAATATTGGTACAAAGAGGCACCAGATACATATGCGCCACACAAATCTCACTCGATTTGTGTGAGGGCCGTGATACTGCCCACGTGCCCAGACTGAAGCGGGTGGTTTTCTTAGGGGGCCACACCCGGAGCCTTTGACCTAAAGGTCTGATCTACAAGGCAGTGGAGCATCGTAAGGAGATGCAGTCTCATGGTAGCTGGTGACCAACAACAGGTTCGTACGCCATTTGTTTCCTTGGGATCCTGGAGCCCATGTGCACCATTGGTTTGGAATCAGGGTTTTCCAACTCCCCTAGGTGGACTTTTCGTGTCCACCAACCCGATTAAAGCGCCGGACATTCACTTTTTGTCCTCTCAATTTTGTAAACAACACCCCTGCCACGAGAAGGCAGTGAGTAGGACTTCCCTGAGAGAGGCTATATACGCGGGGCCATGTGAAAGCATTTCGAGAGGGAGAGCGGACCCTCCACACTCTCGGCCGTATCAGGGCATTTGGGGGCAAAGTGTGCCAACTGACTGTTGCAGTGTGGAAGTGCCGGGCAAATACAAACCCTTACTACTAATATTTAATTCACCAATTTAGTTCATTAATTTATGCTATAAGATATACATATATACAGGGAGGAGAAATTTGATTGTATAACTAAGGTTATGGAAACATTTTAAGAAAGGAATTCGAAGAAAACCTGAATTCTACGAATATGATCATCATTGTTATTACAATAATAACAGTAATATCTCACCTGAAAGCTATCGAAATTAATTTAATTCGTCATGTATATATCCTTATTAAAAAGCAAACAATTATTTAACTAAACAAAGTAATTGGTTAACAATTTTATCTACTCATGTTTTGATTGGTTTACAATTAATCCTTTCATTGTTCATAGCAAGTAAATGAATAAGTATGAGTACGATAATCTTGTATTCTCCTAAAATATCAAGGAGAAATAAGTATACATTTAGTCTTACAGTAAGTGATTTCATATTTTATGAAACAAAACTCAAATGATATTAATGAAGTTGAATTGTGACTAGCTATGGAATCCATGACGTATGTTTCGTCTTGTTAAGTTGTACATGGGTCCTAGTGTATATATTTACTCTATGACTTGAACTCAGTACTTTTTGATTTAAACACAATGCGTTTTTCAACGATCTACTAAATCTTGATAGCCACAATTTAGTTATTTCTCAACTTATTGCTGGAAGCAGTATGCAGCCAGTCTTTTCAGGGTTCATATATGTCAATAAAGACAGATAAAATACAGTTATTGATATCATCAAATGGAAAAAAACGGTTTCGTATATGTGAATTATTAATGTTTAATTGCTGAATATTTTGAATTTAGCACAAGAAGCTTTGTTCATTTAAATTGCATTTTGATTCAAGATCTGAGATATAATATGTTTTCACCGTCTACATTTCCAACTTCCGCTCTAATTTGTTCTACTTTTCTTGTAATAAAATCTGGATAAATGTTAATCAATACTATAAATATAAAAATGCGAACTTATAAGTACGGTTTATCTTTATATATATAATAGAACATCAATTCTGGTTATTCTGTAGCTATCATTGAATGTCATTGATAGATGATGTTTGCACAAAATTGCGAACTGATTAATTTTAGAAGTTTAAACCGTTGAACACATTGGTCTAAATATTGAGTATTCATTGCTAGACCTAAAGGTCCTGAGTTGTAAGTACGCTCCGCTAAAGAATCTCACAACTGAACGAAAATAGATATTCAGTAATTCTTGATTTTCAAAAGTTGTTTAATCAGTATCAATCCGTGATGTAAATTACATAACTTCATAGTAGATGATAGATAAAACGAGATTGCTAAAATGAATAATTGTTTTATAGAACCAAAAAAAATACAAAAAACTACTGAAAATCCCTGAACTGTGGAAAAATAGAGGAAAAAACCTGATTAGCGATGAACAAAATTATGTAACTGGCTACAAAAGTTAAGAGAAATTTCTTTCATCTATGGAACCGTTGGTTTTTGTTATGAACTGAAAAAGGTGAACCCAGTGTCTGTCTGTTCGTATGGTGTCGTGATTAAACTAACCATAAATAAAGACGGATTATGATGGTGTTTATTTCATACGCTTTCGTTTGTTACTATACAACTTTTTAAGAGATACTCAAAGTGATGTTCAATAAATGACTTATATGAAGCGGTTAACGATACTTAATATTATTAAATAGAAAGGATTTCTGATAATTTTAAAGGTAATTTTTTAAAATATTCTCTAACTTCATTACAAGCTGATATCTATTATGACAGGTAAAAGTAATAGATCATAGGCTGTTGTGTCTTTCGTCTTCATATTTAATTAGTCATTTATCATAATTGGAAATTTGAAGCGATTGTTCGTAGACTGATATTAGCTAAATAAATATTAGGGCCTGAATGTTCTAGTTTTCATCCCTGGTGGAATTCTGGGTCTACGCATCCAGAGAATTCTACAATAGGACGAAATTATTGTCCACTCTTCTCTGACTTCAAGTAGATAAGGACAATTTGTCCTAATGGAACAATGTTTAGAAACTATAATGATCATTTTTAAAATTGTTAGACAATATTCACTATCACAGAAAAGATCACAATGGCGTAGGTATATACACTCTTTATCTTCCCTTAAACCTTGAGATTAAAATTGCTTCATAACTTTTTTCCTTCCTATACTATATCCTTATATACAACCTTTCTTTATATACTACCACCACTAAATTAACTACTTCTATGGATCCGGTGTTCATCTTGTTGTGTTAACGAGGTATGGCAACTTGGACCAATGCATATGTGTGCCTGGTCCTACGTTGTAGCTGACTGACGGACTGATCACACAGAATTAGGTATTGATGAGTTTTTCTTCTTAGTTGGTGAATAAACCGCTGCAATAATATAAAATATCTACTTCGATAGTAGGAACCTTTATCATTTATAAGAAATATATATTTAATTATATGATGAAAATGTCCATTTTTGTCCTGTATTTTTTATAGTATACTTTGAGACATGAAAAACTAGAGTATTCCAATTAAAAAGTAGAGCAATACTAGACTCTGTCTACTTCGTACATAATTATCTCTACATCTATTCAGAAAATTTTGTCTCAACATTTAATGACTCTTTAGTTAACGTAAATACTTCGAAACAATTAATTTGCAACTATTATTCTTATTGTGATCATTATGCTTCAGAATCCCAGCTGAGAAAGCCATTCAATGAATTGACCCTCGAAATGGATAATAATAATTCATAAATATATTGATAATAATCGTCTATTTCAGTGTTCGGGTGTTTCTTTTCGAATTTTCATACATATGATTAGTAAATCAGCATGTAATTTACCCTATACAAAAAGTGCAACTTAAATAATGTGATAAGCTTATTATTGATTCTTCATAAAGTGTATGATCAATCAACCTATGAATCCAAAAAAAATACTGATCAGAAAACTTTATGTAGTATGCATAAAATAAATCATAATTCATCGTTATTATACATAAACAGTCTGAATTGTTCAGTCGATTGGAAAAATGAACAAAATTCAATGTTTCAACTAAGTACATTGAAGTTTAATGACACTGAAACGATACTTATTCGACCAAAAAGTGATGACGATAATATTGTAGGTGATTCTAAGCCAGAAGCTAAATATTGCTCTTCTTATGAACGTACTTTGAATAGTATGAGACAGCCATCAAGAAACTCTCATCAAAATAATGACTTTTTTGATCTCCGTTCACCAATTTTCGAAATTGGAACTAACAGTTGTGGGATACCTGATCCATTTATATCATCCAATTTAAAATGTAACAATAATGGTAACAATCCACCTGCTAAATCATCAGACTTAAACTCGTATATAAGTGACCATCATCATCAGTGCCAGTGTGATATGTCATCTACTGTATGGGATAAGTGGTCGTTTTTATCCCCAATCAATAGTTATCATGCCAATTCAGATTGTATTATAGCAACAACAAAAACTGTCCAGCCAGTAGGAAAATCAGACGCTTTAGCTGAATTTGTTGATATGTTTAAAAAAAAAAGAATAAAACTTGGCATAACACAAGCTGAAGTAGGACGTGCATTGGGCACACTAAATTTAAGTGGTTTTGGTTGTTTATCACAGTCGACAATATGTCGGTTTGAATCCTTGTCATTATCACATAAAAACATGCTGGCTTTAAAACCTGTTTTAGAAGTATGGTTACAACAAGTGGAAGGTGGTTTATGTGTAAATCAAGAACATCGCCTACAAGAATCACATAACTATTTTAATTGTACACCTACTGGTTCCACTGACTCATTCAGGAATTCCTCAACTAAGTCTCCAGTTTTCTTACCATTTACTCCATTAAAGAAATCTGTAGAGAATCAACGTCGTAAACGTACATGTATCATGGGTAAAGAAAAATATATCCTTGAATCATTTTTTAACGCAACAGACTGTAGACCAACCTCAGACCAAATGAATGAATTAGCTTTACGATTGAATATGCCAAAAAACGTAATACGTGTATGGTTTTGCAATCAACGTCAAAAACATAAACGTCTTTCCAAATTATTACCGAATTCTTTACTTGAAGGCAAATAATTTTCATCATCATAAATGGTTACCAATATTCAGCTGTTTTCATTAAAAACGTTTATATTTTTTTCGTTTACATAATATCAGCTACTAATAAGCAGTTTAGATCTGTCACATAAACTCTTTTTTGATATTTAATAATTATTGGAATTCTAATCATTTTTTTGTCACAACTGCAATAAATAAATAAATATCTACTCCAAAAGTTCTTTTTTTACTTATACATGACAATTTATCAGCTGGATAGTAGCTAGCAGTGGAATCCAGGACGCGCGTTTCGTCCTATTTGGGACTCGTCATCTTTGCTTACAATGCTTGTGAATTAAGGTTATATCAAGGCAATACGCACAGTATGCACATATGCCAATTAGAGACTGACCAGTTGCAGTCCTGACACATCGATGGGAAGATTCAAACAAGCAGTATTAAGTAAATTTAATTTATCAGATAGTTAATTGAAAATTTATTTTATAATTAACATTCCTTACTTAGTACTCACTCAGGTAATAAATTGCAAATAGTTTATCTTATTGGCAAAGACTTTTTCTATGGACTTAGATTTTTCCTTGATAGTTACATCAGTTTCCTCTCACGTCATCAACGTTAATCAATAAAAATGAGATGCTTTTAACGTTATGGGGATAGTTATATGTTATCTTTTTCTACTATATTACTACCTTCAAAAATGATCGGGCAGTTAAAGCTACTTACCCAGATAATACGTGAGCCTAGATAGCACGACAGTAACAGCATAAATAATGTGTACTCATGAAGTAGATTAGAAGAGCTGGATAGAATATCAGTTCCCTTAAGATTTCTGGTACTCCTTACTTAAAAGTGTCTACAACCATAGAACGTAGGACCATAGCTTTTTATCAACTGATTTCAAACATCTAACAGAAATTAAATTTTAAAATACCTGGATGATATCTAGGACAAAATTGTTCATTCTTGATTATTTTTAGATGTACCAGGAACTTTGAGACAATTTTATTAAATTCCTTGTTATTATAATGTTTCCACTTCTTTGATAGTAAACTTTTTGATGTCTAGTAAACAGTTAACTTTTATGATGTGTCTAACCATTAATCAACGACTTTGTATATATTTCCACTTCTGCCTGTTTATAATGATTATGTCCAACTTTGATTGATTATTATATATTAGCGCATACATTGCAACACCATTACTATAGGTTACTAATTTTAATGAGGTCTATAATTCTATTCTTACCTATGTTTTTGCTCATTGACAGCTACTTTGATCGATTTTCATGACCTTATAATCATTACAAGATATATGATAGGTTATATTACATAAGCTATTACTACATCACCCATTATTTCGTTTCATAATATGTAATTCATTGTACCGAAATCTGTAGAAATGATAAATATTAAACAGAATGGTGAATGTTACGTAATGTTATAACAACCGTGTCAAAGTGCATGAACAATGAATTGCATTTGAAACATCACACACTAAACAGTACTGTGGCATTATAAACTTTATCAAATATAAATTAAGCAAAGGAATATTTCTTTTTGATTAATTCCTCATTAGGATTTTACACTAATATATGCTTTATGAATTAAGTATAAACTCAATATAAGTTTAACAATGCTACATCAATTAAATACTGGGCCTCAAGATTTCCTCAGATGGTAATAACTAGTTATTAGTGTTATATCCCGAAGAGAATTGTGAATAGTAACTTTTGAGGACTATTTGTGGACCAACGTAATATGTATATTTCCTATTGTATAATTGTTAAGTAACTAACCTAATCATATTCGTGTTCCTCTCATCATTAGCTTTATTTTGACCTTTGAACTATTATTATACGATTGTTGAGTTATCATCAGTTTATTGATTACCTTCTCCCTATTCACAGCCACATTTGGCTAAATATTGTACAAATGTTATTTACTATTTTATGGTATGATGTGGTCTGTTTGGTTGGTTTATAAACCCAGTATGTTTGTGAATAATGATTCATATTGCCGAGGCTGTTATTGGTGTTTTTGGACTTAACTGTCTGGGCTAGGCGGAAGCAGGACCGGTTGGCGCTCTAGACTGCTCGTACGGTTTCGTGTGTCACTGTTTCAATCGACAAGTCGCTGCTCCTTGATTGGCGGTCTCATCAAGTCACACATTAACTAGGCATCCACTCGGCTACAAGATATAACAATTAGTAACGTAATGGATAACAAATTAAAATTAAGAGAGAAAATAAAGTAAAATTACACAATTGATAAGTTACGTCGGAATACTAATAAGAATTGAGTAATTTTGAAATTTAATGTAAATATTTATTATTCCTTGTAAAATTAATAATAAGTACGTTATAAAACGAGTGTAAAGAAAGTCAGTTATTTTGATGACTAAGACAGCTTACATAAGATAGAAATTAGAAATGAAAATCGAATATAAAAAAATATTTGTGAAGGTAACTAATTAGAAGTCCAGGGTAACTGAAGATTCTGTATAAACGTTTGCTATAGACAAAGATTACTTTTATTGATATATATTCCTATGGTTTCTTCAGTACACAAGGGACGAATTCCAGAAGGATGAGGCAGATTAGACGGAATACTATCGATAACTTTGAAAGCTGAATATGTGTCGATAGGATGAATGGTACTGACTAAATGTCTCACATTACAGCTTCTTATTGTTTTATACTGTTTTGTGATCAACCATTCAGAATAATTTTCAGAATTCCAATGAAGTAATTTTCTAGTTGTAAGTCCAATATATTTGATTCTATAGGAGCAATTAAAATGTTAAATACGTAGAGAGGCACAATAACTAAGCAGTTTATCGTTATTTCTTGGATTCACTGTTAGCTGACTGAAAGGAGAAGGACGTAATTGTACAGCCCTAAATATTCGTTCCTTATTTCGTTTGCTATATCCCCAGTGAACTGTATTTTCATCAATGATACTTATCAACAATACTTAAGTCTTGGACTTTTGTCTAATGTTTGTAAATGATTTAGAAAATAAAAAAGTTGAATCATTCGATTGTTTAAGGCCAGAATGTTTGTTCTGTTTATCTTGGATAGTATAACTATTAATCAGTCTTTTTAGGCTGTTCTAAACATTGTACAAGCTCTATTATATATTGATCAAATTTTCTAGCAGGAAGCATAATAATTAAGTTACTTTATTATTACCAGTAAAATTATTTTTGTAGATGTTGGGATGGAGTGGATATTGAAGAGATTGGAACATTCAAGACTATTACTGCTTATACTCTTACTACTTCTACCACTATGTGATTTGAATCGACTACTGTATCTCTGTGCTAATGTGTTATGGCAACTCGAACTGATGTACGTACGTACGAAGTTCTACATTGTGACTGACTGATGTGATGAATATTTCTAATTTTACTTCATAGTTATTAAATAAATGGTTTATGGTATTTCCACATTTTCCAGTTTATAGGCTTTCATTTAATAGATAAAATGTCTATGTAGTTTTTACGATACTTACAATATCGTTAATTAATAAGGGTTCATTACTCAGTTCTGTCATAATCATGTGTAAAATCTAATTTCTTATCCTTGAGTAATTGGTCGGAGCTTGTCGTTTGATAAAGTTAGTGTAGATGATGCAATAGGCGTGAAGTATATTCTCATTAATGGATTTGGTCAAAGGATTCAATTAACGGGTATATAAAAAGACTAAAGGTCACAAGAGTAGTATTGAACTTTTTGATAGTCTACGGAACAAAATCATCTGATTCTTTTAGGTTGTAAATGAAAAAAAGATATCAATCCATTTCATTTAAACTCTAAATCGTAAGCGCCTCACTTCCCGTTAATCTTGACACTATTAAATATATTATACAAATGTGATAATCAAATGACTTTTTTGTATATTGTGTTCAATTTTTTTCAATGCCAAACAATCATTAAAACGAAATTGAACGGTTTGTAAATAACATTCAATTTTAACAAATAAATAATGATAACAGTAATAATAAAGGTTGCTATTAACCTTGTACTTTCAAATACGAGTGAACATGAACGTATTATATTTATATATATATATATGCATAGAAACAATGGTAATCTAATGTCAATAAATAAGATTATCATTTACATACCGTTGAAAGTCTATTTTATTAACCCATTTAACATTCATGACAATAAACAGAGATTATCTCAAAAATGGCTATTTTTCGAACACTTTTTCTAAAACTGTATTAGTTCATTGTATAGTCGACTTGTGAAAAGCTAAAGCATATGTGATGGATATATTTCCTCTTGAAAATTATCTGTTTCAGTTTTCATGGTCTCCTCGTGTACAACCCAAACTAAACGTTGTATTCACTAAAAGTAGTCATCCTAAGTTGATAAAAGATAGCTCAAATAATTTGGATGAAACAATATGACTATATAAGCAAGGATGAATAGTAGCTAGCAGTAGAATCCAGGACGCACGTTTCGTCCCATTTGGAACTCGTCAGCCGGATATACCTGCATCTCAGAGTTGATGTTCACTCTGGGACTCGAACCCAGTACATTTCGCTTCGAACGCCATCGCGTTATCCACTCAGCTAACGAGTCTCAAATAGGACGAAACGTGCGTCCTGGATTCCACTGCTAGCCACTATCCATCTTTGCTTACAATGCTTGTGAAGTAAGGCTATATAGAGGCAATACGCACAGTATGCACATATGACAATTAGAGACTGACCAGTTGCAGTCCTAAACATCAATGGGAAGATTCAAATAATAATTGAATTTATTATGACTACATGTTAAATTAAATAACTCATCCATTACAAAGTGACGACTAACATCGACCAGAATCACTGGGAATCACTAGAAGATCACGAGTGTAACACTTTAAAGAAAATCTTACAAATGAGTAGTGTAATGTTGTCACACTTCCTCAATTAACAACACATGACCGTCCAAACTACGTATGTTGAAATTCTATATTTTATAAATAATATCTCACAAAGTTTTTGTATGCACTACAATATTTAGTAATCGTAAGAGGTTAACGATTTCCGTCTAACTGATAAAACTAATCAAAATAATAAACTAGCAAACTCAGTATGTCTATTTACTGAAAATGGTAATAAAATGTACTGCCACATGATTCTGCAACTGGGTTTCTATTAGTAGAAAGAGGAATTCAATCGTAACTCTTT